AAGTCATCAAATGAAAAAAGGGTGTCCAAAATACAATTCCAAGCAATACGCAATACAAATGCGTAAATAGCTCCAGCTCTCAACCATTTAAAAACATGCGCTTTTATATTTCTTTTTCTCGGAAAGGCATTCGATCATCGATAGTCTGCGGTAACTGAAGTGACGACATCGGTCATCATGAATAGCTAAGCAGGGCTCACGTCATAGAAATGATGAGTGGAAAACGGACATGGGGAACTTTGGAGACTTAATAAAAAAAATAAAAAAGATCAAATCATAAATTTAGGGAGAAGAAGAAAAGCTAACCATTCACGCACATATGACTTAATTATAACTAAAGAAACATGCCACTTTGAAGCAACCTTGCCTTAAATGGCATGCCATAAATGTTCCTCCAACGCATTCAAAAGTTACTGTACGGAACGAATACTAATGTGAAATTTCTGTCAAGCCACAGCAAATTGCCAAAGTTGTCGAAAAAAGTACACGTCACCACTGGAATGTTAATAAATACGTATCAATGTATTTCAAAGATGCTATATTTAGACTTAGAAGGAAAGTCGACATACATTCTCTGAAATGCAATGAGATGGGCACCGATTTGCATGTTTTAAGACGCTGACCTCAAATCTGNTTGAAGCAACCTTGCCTAAAATGGCATGCCATAAATGTTCCTCCAATGCATTCAAAAATTACTGTACGGAACGAATACTAATGTGAAATTTCTGTCAAGCCACAGCAAATTGCCAAGGTTATTGAAAAAAGTATACGTCACCACTGGAATGTTAATAAATACATATCATTGCATCGTAGCAATTTTAAAGATGCTATATTTAGACTTAGAAGGAAAGTCGACATACATTCTCTGAAATGCAATGAGATGGGCACCGATTTGCATGTTTTAAGACGCTGACCTCAAATCTGCCAAGCGATTTTCCAAAAAAGGGCACGCAGAGGTTTTTCCTGCTGTGGCAAAGTCTTCCGTTCTCAAGCAAAACGAAAAGGAGCTGAGAAAAGTCATTGGTGCTGTGAACGGTCTACTAGCCTCCTTAATAGTATCTTCTTCGGGGGTATTGACGTCGTCTTCCTACCCAGATCTACCAATAACCTCCCATCCAGAACCTTCTTAATGGTTTCACTTTTCAACTGTCCTCGCTTGAACCCCGATTATAAAACAGTCGAAATGAAAACCTCGAAACAGTAGGTCTGGCAAAAACGCGCCCAGAGGCTCAGGTATATTGAAATTGATAATGTTCATTTACGAATTGCGTAGCACATCATAAATATTTTATAAAAGTCAGCTTAGTTTTCAAACTAAAGCACCAAAACTGTCGGAATACTATGATATGACAATAACCTACAATACCTAATAGATGGATGAGGACGAAAGGAGGAAGGGCTTTCGACGTTTCCACGACAACTCAATCCACTTAATCGTTTCCTTTTTGTGGTAGTACTTCCAAAAAAAGGAGAAAAATAGGTGAAAGCTTCCTTAGCAGCTATGTCAGAATAAGGTGGAGCGAAATTCGAGGGCATTGGAAATCAGAAAAGAA